ACGGGGATGATGGTGGAGCGTTTGAAGCAGGAAGGGACTTAACACAACTCCAGAGATCTATTGAAGATCTGTGAAAAGATAAGGGCCAGCTGGTCAGCGCAGGTTTTCCGACAGGCTGGTGTCACACCATCTGGGCCTGGTGCCTTTCTTCTCTTGTTCTTTCTGAAGACCTGGCGCACATCATCTTCACTGATCTGAAGTGCAGGAGTGAGGGAGAGGGGGCTACAGGAGGTGTTAACGGTTGTGTAGAGAGATGGTCAGAATGGGTGGGGGTGGTGTTGGGCGGTATACCGGTTCATACCGAATACCGGTGTTTATTTTTGTTATGATATGAATTTTTAAAATACCGCCATACCGGTGTATGTCTCTTAAACAACGTTCGGAACGTGACACTGTTTGAAAGGGGTCCCTTTTCACTTCTGTGTCACGTGATGACACAGAAGAACTCATCCACAAGATCCACAATATTCTGACTCACAGACTGTAAGTACGGGTGTTTATTTTTGTTATGATATGAATTTTTAAAATACCGCCATACCGGTGTATGTCTCTTAAACAACGTTCGGAACGTGACACTGTTTGAAAGGGGTCCCTTTTCACTTCTGTGTCACGTGATGACACAGAAGAACTCATCCACAAGATCCACAATATTCTGACTCACAGACTGTAAGTACGTTTTTATATTTAAAGATTTTGCCACTGACGATTCAAACGCGAGTTTTGAGCAGTGTAAGTTTGTCATTTCTCCGATCACAAATGCAGATATGGTTTTATGTTTACGCGGCGCGATGCAATGCAACGCGTAAAAACACAGTATAAGTCATTATAATCCATAATTATGTCCCCACTGGATGCAACAAATGCCTCGTTTATAATGGGTTTTAATGTTTTTGTCTCATCGCTCCGGCCGGACAGGGCATCACAATATGGTAAGGGGCGTAACATTTCCGTCACACGCTTGACGTATTCGGCCAATCACAATGCACTGGATAGCTGGACAATCAGAGCACACCTCGCTTTTCAGACCGATGAGCTTTGTAAAAATCGACGTGTTTCAGAAAGGCGGGGCATAGAGGAGAAACAATAATGTACAGTATGTGGAAAATAATGTGTTTTTTTAACCTTAAACCGCATAAACACATTTCATTACACTAAATACACAAAATAAAGTTATTTTTAGCAACATCATATGACCCCTTTAAAAAAAATCTCCACAAGAATCCAGATAGATAACAAGCCTTATGTCTTCTATAAATGAAACCTAAGAAATTCATGTGATTAAATTCTCTGTTTTTTAAATAAATCGTCTTCTGTGGTCACTGAAAGTTTTATTTTAAAAGTTAAATAACATGCAAAAGCATCCAAAAAGAAGATTTTTCTGTTAAGTGAGCCCTTTGTCATGCCTGAGACAATGTTGCCAGTTGTTTCCCACCCAGATGATGGCTCTGGTCATTATTCTACCCTCACAAACAGTCACAACACAAGAGCTCATAAATTAACAAGCATCTCTTGCCCTTATCAGAATAAACGTTACAAAATAATTCAATTCAATTCAAGTTTATTTGTATAGCGCTTTTCACGATACAAATCGTTGCAAAGCAACTTTACAGCAAATTAAGTTTCTACAATATTTAGTGGTAGCTTATCAGTGGTGACAGAATACAATCATGTTAACAGAGTTACAATATCTAACAAACAGTAGAACAGCATCATACATCGCTCAGTCTGAAATAAATCTAAACTATATTAGACTACAATGCACATTGTGAACAAAGCTTTGTATATATGATTTCTGGTCCTAGCTCAGTGAAACTGATAAAGCTGGATGAGACACTGAGAAAGAACAGATAAAGTTTAAATACTGCAGAGCTACTGAGAAAGGGAGAGAGTGTGTACAGGTTAAAGCGAAAGCATAATTGAGGGGGAAAAAGCCTTAGTATAAACACATCTGCTCCTCTGTTAAAGATAACAAAATCTCTGATGGGCAAAGCACTCTGAAGCTCTCAAAGCAGAACAGATGCTCAATAGTCATATTCACTTGTATCTAATCTTGGCCCTGCTCTTTTTCCACTGTCACTTCAAGTGACTGGTTTACAGCTACAACTACTGTGGACTGTTTTTACTTAAAATGCTTATACTGTCATTAGAGGGTTTTGTCTATTCTTGATACATGTAAGTAATTTAATGATATTTTAGAAATCTTAATACTTGAAGGATTTAAAATCTGCATATTCTTTATGTTCCACTTTGATTACAATCCTGCTTATACAGTGTTGAACTAAATGTTTCATATAAAAGGCAGGTAATTCCAAGCATTTTCACTGTGTCCAATTTATAAAGGTGGAAAAACTTATTTTGGCTCTTTAATGCTATTTTTCTGTTTAGTTGTTAATTTCAACAGTGTTCCATTATAGTTGGTCTGTGTGACAATTAACCTGAATAATGTAAAGCTATAGCACCTTTCATACAGTAAATATAGATTTTACTGGTAAATCATGTATGAATATTAGGGATGCACCGATATGAAAATTTTGGCCGATACCGATAACCGATAATCCTTTATTTTTGAAAGCCGATAACCGATATGTTGGCCGATAAATCTATATCCAAATTTTTATATACTTTTTGAGAGCCTGATTACAAAAAAGGTCTCATCATTAAAAACCACATCCTGAACACTTCAACATAAGCAGCCTAGTTTGAACGGTGTATGTTTTAAAAATAATTTCTCTCCCATTACCAAATTTAGTCATAAAAAAGTCTTACAAATAAAATAATGCATAAATAATGCAAACAAGTCATTGGACATCATTACACGTGTAAAGAATCAAAATGAATGCGCCATAGATCAATAAAACGGAATAGCCTCTGCACGGACAATAATTAAATGATTTTAATTACTAAACCATATTGCTGATGAAAATAATAATAGAAAAATACAAGTGGTTGTTATTATTAATAATGTATCAATGATTTTGAAAAAGTAACAAATTAATACCACTGTTTTAAACAGCAGCCGTTTGAGCTGCGCGTGCTGAAGCTGAAGAGCTGAATGAATACGGTAAACTGAAGCGTTTTGCTGGCAGCTTATTTAACTCAAGGAAATGCATCCTGAGATTAATATTAATACAACATAAACATAATATTACAACTTATATATGTACAAAATGACGCAGTTATTGCATGCTATAGTCAGAATGTGTGATCCTGTTGTGGATGCGCTCTTCCCATAACAACGCGCTGAAACACAGCAACTAAACCCAAAGAATTCTCATTAGAATGTTATATACACAACATTCCCAATCATAGTTATTA